GGATGCTTAATAAATGCTTGCTGATTAATTTATTGGTATATTTTGTATATCTATTTTGCATGGAAAAACCCAATTCAAATATGAGAGAATAAATATTTGCATCCACTCTGGAAGCAAAGGGTCTATCTTTAAGTTATATGGATGAAAGGAGGACAAAGACTCTGGATTACGGGTTTTTAAGATAGACTGGTTAGAAGAGGAAGAAATCTTCATTTACTAGTCATCATTGTTTTAATTTGGGAGCAGGTCTTGACAATGATATCTTGAATTCTTATGAGATTCCATTGATTCATTTTAAGTCCATGGACTATCTGAGGGACATAGACTGAAACAGGACTTCACCATATACTAAATGGGACAAGAACACTGCATACCCCATGGGTCTTCTACTCCCCAAGAAGGCCTCCTGTGATACACCTTTTCCCTACAACAATAACTGGAATTGCACGGGACCCACGCATCATGTCCTGACAAAGGGGGAGATTACTCTCCTTTCCCTCTTATTGTCCTTACAATTCCTGTTTATCACCAACTCTAGTTTAAGAGGTTGCCCCTTGCATACCTTTGGGAAAACCTAGTTAAAGGTTTTAATAATCCCCAATGCATGATGAGCTTTTGTTGTTTGTTTACAGGTCTCAGAAGCTTCATTGGTCACTCATATAAAATGATGACAGTTTTCCAATTTCAGTACAAAAGGAGGCATTTATAAAGGTCTGTATTTTGAAGTAAATAAACCCATACTAGAAAAGGTGAAGAACTTAGTTTCTCAGACTCCAGAAAGAACTTCTCTGACATGCTCCATGATTGGTAGGTGGGGAAAAAAAAGATTGCAAAGAATTGCTTTAGTAGTAGATTGTGACCAGAGTCTTATTTCGTTTATTACCAAATGGTTCTTGAAATGACATTAGGTTTTGTAGGAGGATAAGTAGGTACTGAGGGACTTAGGAGGGGGAGTGAATGAAAAAAGGGAATTCATGCTTTTTAAAGAAAGTGAGCAAGAAGGCTACAATTCTTCAGTGAGATCAGTGATGCCCTTGTAGTTACAAACAGAATGAGGAGACTCTTCATTTGGGGTCTATTTTGATCTCTGCCCTAAGGAGAGTCCTGGATAGTCTTCTAAGTCACTCACTCTCTCTCTCTCTCTCTCTCTCTCCCTCCCTCCCTCCCTCTCCCTATCTTTTTACCGAGATACCAAATAAACTTGTTATCTCATTGGCATGAATGCTTACTTTACCAATGAAAATTAATTCTCCACTTCACCTTTCTCCCCCACCACCACACACATACAGATACACAACACACACTCACATGCATACACCTTCTAATCTTATTCAATTCTTGATCATGTTTTCCCATAAACCTTTGAAAGAGAATCCATCCTGCACACTGAAGCTTATTGACATGGTCTTTAAATTAAAAATCAGAACAGACAGAAATTGTTATTATAGTTATTTTTTACTTTGAAAAAGTATATGTGTCTACAAAGTATTCTAAAGTATTGCCCAGAGAAAAATGTGCTACATACAAGGTTGTTGGTTTTTTTTTACCATTATCTTATTCATTCTTTTGACATCTTCTAGCTACATCTGCCTAATATGCAAAAGTCAGGTTGAAAAGGGAAAAGATTCATCAATTTGTTTCATAGATATGTGTGTGTGTGTGCGCATGTGCGTGTGTGTGTGTAACATGAGACAACTCACTTGATTTATTTTTTCCTCTGAATGGATGGATTTGATAGATTCTTAATAATTTGAAAATTTTCTTGTGAATTAGTGGATTGCTTTGGTATCAGCCACTTACTATCAGTGGCCCTGGGCAAATCACTTAATCTATCTGTTTCGGTTTCTTTAATTGTAAAATGGGGACAAGAATAGCAGCTGCCTCCCAGGGTTGTTCTGAAAATTGAATGTGATAATATTTGTATAGGGTCTAGTACAGTGCCTGACACATATTTAGGCACTTAAAGAATGCTTGTTTACTTCCTTAAGGAGATTAACATTCTAATGGGGAAAAGATCGGTATTAATAATCATAATATTCTTGACCAAGATTATTCTCCTATTCCAGCTCTGAACACACTACCTAAAGTTTAATAAAGGAGATATTCTTCCATTGGCTTCTTTTATGGAAGGGGGTCATTATTATGGTTGAGTTGTTTCAGTCATGTTTGACTCTTTTTTGAGGGGTTTTCTTGGCATAGATACTGGAGTGGTTTGTCATTTCCTTCTCCAGCTCATTTTACAAATAAGGAAACTGAGGCAAACAGGGTTAAGTAACTTGCCCAGGGACACACAGCTAGTAAGTGTCTGAGGCCAGATTTTAACTCTTAAAGATGAGTCTTCCTGGTTCCAAGCCAAGTGCTCCATCCACTGCATGATCTAGCTTCCCATTAAAGGGGAGGGGTTGTTTAAATTGACAAAGGATTTTTCTCTACTTATTTCTGAAAGTTCACTGGATTTGGAGTCAGGTGGTCTGAACTCAAATTTTAGCTCTGCTACTTATGAGATATGAGCTTGGTTAAGTAGCTTAGTCTTTGTGACTCATTTTCCTAATTAGTGATATGATGAAGTTGAAACAGATTGGTTGCCGAAACTTTTTCAAGCTCTGTATTCAATGATTCTATGATCCCAGCTTCCTTCTTCTTTGTGCAAGATTAATCAGCCTGATTTTCTTACACTCACAGCAGAAGGGTGGTATAATGTTGGAATGGAAGAGTTTGGTTTCCCGTATGATGCAGCCAATGGAGGTCTTTTTCACTGCAGTGAGTGTTTTGTAGAGCGTTTTGTTTTACTCTGTGGGACAGAATGGGAGAAATAAATGTTTGCAAGACTGAAATGTTGAGTTGAATTGGGCTCAATCCTGGCACTTTCACTATTATAATACCTAATAATAATAGCATTTATTTGTATGATTTACAAAGTACTTTACATACATTAACTCATTTGATCTTCACATTAATACTGTGAGGTTAAATAGTGGATTATATTTAATAGGCACCACTGATATGTTAGTGATATAGATAGATAAGAGATAATCATAGATGGAGAGAGAGAGAGAGAGAGAGAGAGAGAGAGAGAGAGAGAGAGAGAGAGAGAGAGAGAGAGAGAGAAATAGAAGCTTTCAGGCTACCTGTGGTAATTTCTCCAGGACCATAACATGTCTGAATTCTTCCAACTAGAGGAAACCATGCTTTGCATTTGGAGCCTCTACATGTGTGTTTGTACTATGTGGAAATGAGATAAATGAACAGATAACTGATCCCACAAATAGATATTGGTGGGGGCAAGTATGAAAGTGGGATGGAGGAATGATTGAAACTAAATTATTCTTAAAAATCTGTAGGTAGAAGGCAGGGCATCTTAATTTGGTATTCATGGAATTGCCTTTTAAAAATACTTTTAAAAAATTAAAGCTATTTCACTACACTTGACTTCCTTCATAATCTAATGTATTTTAATGTAATTAAAAACATTATTCTTAGAGGTACAAAGAGTCAGACCCAACTGAAAAATGATTGAATGAAAAAAGCCCATTATTTTAAAAAGAGTTCCAAAGGTTTTACCAGACTACCAAAGGGGTCCATGATGTAAAGAGGATTGAAAACTCCTAGATCAAACCCCCCATATCTTGCAAATAAGGATACTGAAACCCCCAAAGATTAAGTAACTTGCCCAAAATCACCTAGGATAGTCAGCATTAGAATGGGGATTTGGACGGTCTTGACTCTTGAGCTCCCTCTTTTATTTGTGTTTTCATGAAGAAAAAAATTCCCCAAAATAATTCTTTAAGTCTCCTAAATATTCCACCTCCTTAGATAATGTTGCTGATAAAAATATAGGCAGAGAAGAGGTTAATTTGACTCCCAGATAATGAAGAAAGAAGTTAACAAATCCTTCTCCCCCTCCAAAAATACTAGAATCAAAGTCCCTTGTAATTGGGATAATAGCAGGCATTTTTCAAGAGTCATCCAACTTGAGACCTGTAGTTCAAATGTAACCACTTCATTCTAAAGTGTAGTCTGCCTAAGATACTTTCTTAGCAATATATCTTTATTTTTAAACTTAGCTAACCATAACTGAACTAATAGGCTAAATGGGGTAGACCTCTACATCTTCCTACTGATGCTGTGTAGGTCCAAATGCCACCACATTTCAGGCACTAGATTTGTATCATTTAGTCATTTTAATTGAAAAGAGAAATCATGCCTTCCCTTCAGTGAGGCAGTGACTACTCTAATTTAATTGGGGGAATAATATAAAATAAGGCTAGAAACATAGGGTGGTACAGATTATGGAGGACCTCAGCAGGTAAAGGAGTTTGAACTTTAATAAAAGATAGAGAACAACTGATGATTTTTGTGTAGAGAATGTGAACTTCCCTCAAGTACCCCTTGAGATTAGAGGTTTGTTGTTTGTTGTTTTCTTCTCGTGTATTTGTGTGTGTATACATGCATACAAACATACATAATTATACATGCATATGCATACATACATACAAATATACATACATGCATGCATGCATGTATGTGTAGGTGTTTGTGCATGTTGAATCTATGATTTCTTTAAGAGAATTTCCAGCGTGAAAATCGCTTTTTATCAATCCACATTACCTGAAAGGTATAATATTAGAGAATTGCCTGAAAAAAAATGTTAGAGGTACAATATTAAAGGTACACTGAAAAAAAAGGTAGAGGAATTTGTCTATGTTCAAACAACTAGCTTGACTCAGTAGTTGGACTTGAACATAGGTCTTCCTGGCTCTAAAATCAACATTGTATCCTGTCTGTTGCCTTGTATATAATAGGCATCTAAGTTTGGTGAAATGAATTAAATTGTACTGATCAGTGATAATAAATATCTCTATGCACAATTGGGATTAATCTGAAAGCTGTATGAAGTTGTTGGAAGGGGGAGAGTGCGAGGATAATATGTTATTTTCATTCATTTTGATTTCCTCCTATTTCTCCCATCTTAAGGTTATCTCTAAGCAGCTCTGTTGCCTTTGTCCATGGATGCGGCTAATTCATCTGTGGTATCTGAATTTGTGCTGCTGGGGCTCTCCAGCTCTCAAGAACTTCAGCTTTTCTTTTTTGTGGTCTTCTCCATGTTGTATGGTATTATCATCCTGGGCAATCTTCTCATCATAATTACAGTGACCTCTGATGCTTGCCTACACTCTCCCATGTATTTCCTGCTGGGAAATCTATCCCTTATTGACATCTGTCAGTCCTCTTTTGCTACCCCAAAGATGATTGCAGACTTTCTGAATGAACACAAGACCGTATCCTTCAATGGCTGCATAGCCCAGATTTTCTTCATTCACCTCTTCACTGGTGGTGAGATGGTGCTGCTGGTCTCCATGGCCTATGATAGATATGTGGCCATCTGTAAACCTCTACACTATGTGACCATCATGAACCAGCAGGTCTGTACTACCTTAGTATTAGCCTCCTGGGCTGTTGGTTTTATACACACCATGAGCCAGTTATCATTTACTGTGAATTCGCCTTTTTGTGGCCCCAATGTGGTGGATAGCTTTTTCTGTGACCTTCCTAGAGTGACCAAGCTTGCCTGCCTTGACTCCTATACCATAGAAATATTAATTGTGGCCAATAGTGGGATTCTTTCCTTAAGCACTTTCTTCCTTTTGTCCATTTCATATATAGTCATTCTGGTCACTGTCCGGTATAAGTCTTCTGCTGCAATGGCTAAGGAAGGCATTTTCCACACTGAGTGCTCACATCATGGTTGTGACATTGTTCTTTGGGCCCTGCATCTTCATCTATGTGTGGCGTTTCACCACCTACCCAGTGGATAAAATCCTTACCATGTTTTACACCATTTTCACTCCTATCTTGAACCCCACTATTTACACATTAAGAAATAAAAAGACATGAAGGCTGCCATGAGGAAACTTGCAACTCGAAAACTGAAGTCCAGGATTCCTGAAATATCCCTCATAACCAGACCTTCTTTTATTGAACATACATCCTCCAATCTTAAAGTCTTGGTGCAAACCTTATATTGCTATATATTTATATCAGCCATTATTGCTGTTATACTTTTTGTTAGCATCGTTACTACATTCCACCCTTGAAAGATAGCTACATAGGGAGGATGGTAGTATAGTAGTATCATAGTTCATAGAATACTGGGATTAAAAGGAACCATAGACATCTTTTTAATGCCGTAAGTTTACAATTAAAGAAATTAAGGCCAACAAAGGAGAAGTAACTTCAACAAAAGGCACTATGCTGAGCTCTAGGAAATAGTTCTAAACATAGGGTTCATTAATGTAAAAACATATTTTGATAACTATATTTCAACATAATTGGTTCCCTTTGTAATCCTATGCATTTCCTTTTATACATATAAAAATATTATTGTCAGAAGGGGTCCGTAGGCTTCACCAAATAGCTGAAGGGATCTATGACACAGAAGAGGTTAAAAAAAAAACCCATTCTAGGGATACAAAGTTAAAAAATGAAGCGGTCTCTGTTCACTGGGAACAGCTAGAAGGCCATTCTGACAGGAATAGAGAATACATGGAAGAATGTGATAAGAAATAAGATTGGAGAAGGAGGTGGGAGGCCAGATTGAGGAAGGCTTTGGGGTATATAGTAAGTGGATGGTAGAGCTCAGATTCAAATTCTGTCCTGTGACTCTAAATCTAGTTTTCTGCCTCCTTATGATGCATAATATAATGATAATAAGCATTAGTTCTTGTATTTCATACCCAAATGGACTTCAGTGTCAAAGTACATTAAAAAATCAGGGAAGTGTCTAAACTAAGGGATACAATGGCCAAAGAGGAGGGCTTGGAGTCAAGAAGACCTGAATTTAAATCCTACCTCTAATACCTACTAGCTTAAGAGACTCTGGGTATGTTTCTTCAGCCTTTCTAATGTTCAGGTTTTTTGTTTACAAAATGGGCATAATAATAACAACTACCTAATAATTGTGAGGATGAAATGAATGAATATGTTATGCTTTTTGCTAACCTTAAAATACTATATAAATGTTAGCTGCGAATTTTTTGTTGCCCTGCACTAGAAAGTAAACAAAGAAAATTATGGTCTGTTGACTTGGACATGCATTGATTGATTATATGTATCTCATATGGACTTATTATTGGGTAGTAAAATGAACACTTAATTTGGATTCGGAAAGATCTGGGTTTGAATTCAACCTCTAGTAACCTATGGTTAACTCAAGCAAATTATTGACTTTTCTTTGAGCCTCTTTCCTCATTTGTATCAGAGAGACAAAAAATTTTGTGTTACCTCTCAACAGTCATGATGATTAAATTAAATATTTTTGTATATACATGGGGGAAAGCTTTGTAAAAAGTATTGTTTTGCAAATGCAGTGCATTCCTGTCATTTTTTATTATACAGAAATAAGTGAAAGAAAAGGCATAAAAACATGGCTTTTCCTCAGGCTGATTCTATGATTTTTGATAAGCAAACACTATCTTACCATAGAGACCATCTTGACTTTCCATCAAATACGCCTTGTTGTTTTGTTGTTTGTCCTTCATTTTCAATGAAGACCAATGTATAGGTGATGTCTTGACTTTCATGTGAATTGGATTTAAGTGAGGCAGAGATACATAGTTATCAGCCTCACTCTCTCTTCCAGAGTCATCAGTCCAATGACAAGACAAAAGTCAAGATGACTGGTGATGGTTTGGGGTGCAGCGGATGACCTTGGAGTCTTTGATGCCTGACTAAGCTCTAAGTGCTCCACAGCACCTGCTTCAGCTGTCTTCATGTACATTAGTGCAAATTGTTCTCATCTACCACTTCTGCCCAGCGGGAAGTCTTCGCACGCTTGAGGTAGACATCCCCCGAGACATTGATGGGCTTGAGACCTGTCAGTTATCCTCAGACCAGTTTAGCCCATCAAGATGGTTTACCAGGATGTGACTGCCATGCATGCTACTGCTTTTTGGAGCCACAGGTGAGAGCTAGGTGAATCAGGTGGACACCAAAGGTGGATGAGCAGCCCTGAAAAGGGCTTGCAAGCCCCCATACCAGAGGTACTAGTCCTCCCTGAACATCCCAAATAAGCCTTAGATTCTAGCAAGAAGAAAAGTCCTGTAGTCAATAACATCTAACTCACTCTTAGTATTTTGCATTGCCTTTCTTACATTTTTCAAAACTGCAGAATTTCAAAGTTGGAAGGGATCATTAAGACCCCCTAGTTCAAACTATGCTTGTGGAGAAATCCTTTTCTACAAAATCCCCAACACATGATCTTCCAGCCTTTGCTCTTATTGGTGCCTCTCTTTTCCTTCACAAACCTTAAGATATAAGAACACAGCTGTCAGGTCCCCTTAAGTCTCCTCTAGCTCCTTCGACTGATCCCCAGAATCATCCTTTGCTCCTATGGCCCTTTGCTACCCTGGTCACCTTTCTCTGCACATATTGCAGCATTTTTCCTTTCCTGCCAAAACTTGGCTTAAGGAAAGATATGATATCAGTCATTTTTGTTGTAATATGATTTTTGTCACTATGTTATACCTCCATGAGGTGTTTTATATTTTAAACCTTAGCTTGTGAAATGAGAAACTCATAAGGAAAGAGTAGGAGCATGTTTCTGTATGTTTTTGATCACTGACATCACATCACTGAACTAGTCGCCTGTTTTGTCAATGACTAAAATAAGCCCTGGCCCTTACAATAATCTATGCCCATTTTGAATGCAGGAGAGTGTGACTATTTTCTCTCATCAATCTGAAGAGTAAAGGACATACAACTAATCTTGTAAGCTCACAGAATATAAGAGACAGAAAGAACCTTAGGATTCACCTAGTCTAGTCCTCTAATTTTGTAGAAGAAACCGAAGCTCAGAGAAAACATCAGAAATCATAATATTTAGATTTGGAAGAGTCCTTAAGATCATCTAGGCCAGAGAAGTAAAATGATTGGCTTAAGGTCATATAATTCATTATTAGAAAAGTGGGGATATAAATTAGAACCTCTGACTCCCAATCCCATGTTCTTTCCATGAGTCCTGCTGCCTCAGATGAAGTAACTTTCCTAAGTTCCCCTGGGCAGTACATGATGGAGCTCAGACTAGAAGTGAAAGAAGAGACATAGATTGCAAAGAAAATAATTCAGGCACCATGTCTTCTTTCAATCCCCAATATGACTTAATTGGTTTAATTTAATTGTTCTCATTTTCTGGATGGATGACACATAAAAAAGCACAAATTGAATCAAACAATAATAATAAAATGAATCAAAACCTGTAGTATGTTCTAAATGTGGCCATGTATCCTGTGGACTAGATTGTGCTGCCACAATCTATTCCATAATGGAATCAAGTGTCATTCATTCATTTGTTGATTCATTCACTCACCAAACTTTTTTTAGCACCTACCATTTACATATATGACACAAGGGTTTTATATTTCTCTTTTCCCCTGCAGGTATGGTGGAGGTAGGAGGCAAAAGATAAATGTTTGATACTTTTTTAAAAATAAAAAAATTATAAAAATAAAACCACAGAAGCTGGGGGAAAATACAAAGTCTAGAAAAGAGATTTACACTCTCATGGAGTTTACAAATCAGTAAAGAGATAAGACAAAGACACAGCTATAGTCTGTGATAGAAATTATTATATGGATGTTTTAGATAAGAGGAAGACAAAGTGCTATGTAAGATCTGAAGGATAGGCTTATTAGTATCAGATGCAAAGGATACTGCCAAGGGATCCATGACTTCACAGAATAGTTCACTTTTAATTTGGGCTTTAATAGTGAGATAGGAATTCTAGAAGTGAAGACGAAGAAGAAAGCCATGTCATGAGTAGGAAAAAATGATGTGGGCAAAGGCACAGAGATGGGCAAGAGTGTGTCTGTGTGTGGTGGGAAGGGATAGAAGGAGAAGGGTTGAGCATCATAATCCAGTTTGGCTGGGTCCTAAGGTTCATAGAAGGGAGTAATATAAAGTAAGAATGGAAAGGTAAAACGGTAACAAACTGAATGTCTAAATTTTTTTTAGAACTTTGCTTCTTAGGAAACAACACGTCACTATAAGTCTTTGTTCAAAGGAGTAACATGAACAAATTAATTAAAGGAATCACTTTTTTAACCTGAATGTGTTTTCTTATTTCATTGATGAACATACCTAGATAATTCCTTATCTTTCCACTTCCGTTTGTTAATTTAGACAGTATCAGCTCACAATGAGGTGCCCTGTTGTTGTTCAGTTGTTTTTTCAGTTGCATCTGACTCTGTGACCACATTTGGAGGCTTTCTTGGCAAAGACACTAGAGTGGTTTGCATTTCCTTTTCCAGTTCATTTGGCAGATGAGGAACTGAGGCAAACAAGGTTAAGTGACTTCTCCAGGGTCACAGAGCTAGTAAGTGTCCGATGATAGATTTGAAATTTTAAAACAGTCTTCCTGACTCCAGGCCCAGCGCTCTTCCCATGGTGCCACCTAACTACCCGAGGTTGACCAAAAAAGTAGGTGGAGGGAATTTTTTTCTTCCAGTTGTCAAAATAATCAATGAATCAATGTACTAAACGATAATACAATTATGCTAAGATGGTTAAAATTAAACCAGATTGCTTAGGTTGGTGATGTGATGTAACTGAAAGAGTGTTAGCTCTATAGTCAGAGAGCCTGGGTTCAAATAACATCTCTATTTATTGATCAAATCACTTTTAAATTTTTTTTCATTTTTAGGCAATTGGGGTTAAGTGACTTGCCCAGGGTCACACAGCTAGTAAGGGTTCAGTGTTTGGTCTGCGGCCAGATTTGAAATCAGGTCCTCCTGACTTCAGGGCTGGTGCCCTGTCCATTGCACCACCTAGCTGCCCCTCAAATCACTTTTTTCATGGCCTCAGTTTCTTCATGTGTAAAATGAGGTAATTAGACTAAATAATCTCTAAGATCCCTTTCAACTACATGTTATGATCTTATATAAAATAAAATAATCAGGACAGTTGTAACTGACCAATCACATTGGTCATAAAGCACTGACTGCAACTTTATTTTATGGCATCATAAATGTACTCTGAAACACATAACGATGGGAAGGACACTTATTATGCTATTTTAGTTGATGCATAGCATCCAGATCAA